GGGTGGGGATGGGAGACAGTGGGATTTTCAGTGGCCCCTATGGCCACCCCATTAAGACGTTTGGAGGCACCCCTTATATTTTCTTACGAAATTTGTGGATTTGCTATATGTTGAAATGTCCAAAACGAACCGCGTGTTAAAATTCAGAATACTAACATGTTTTGCTTCTCCTCAAAAGTCTTTAATTTTCTTTGGTAACATTCGCAGTTTCCTCTGTTCATGATAAATTTAACACATGATCAAATTTTGATGGTGAAAAGATCATAAAAAAGGTCAAACAGCTTATTGTTGTTGTTTGGGTTTCACAGACACACAGTGAAAGTGAGCACGTGTGAGATAAGCTCCTACATCTTTGTTTCTGAAAAGCAGTTTTTTAAAAATCTGTTTTTCTCACTGAAAACTGTATGTCAAAGGAGCCACGTGTCTCATCTGTTAGTGAATGTTTGTAAAAAATTTATTAATTTTTAAAAAATCAATAAAGTGACTTGACAGCATCCTTGTTTTCCCCCCAGCCAGAGATTTAATTGYGAGTCTATGGCTCAGTTTCAAGGAATGATGGTTTTAATGCACAATAGGGGTTTTCTGCCAACAAAACACCTGAAGGGTTCAAAACAAAAACTCTACCGTTGATCAAACTTCTTCTCATATTTTATATGAAATGGGAATTAGGCCACATTGATGTGAGTGTTGTCCTGCCCAGAAGTACAGGCCCCTCCTGAGAGGAGGTCCTGCGGTGGCTGTGATGAGCTGATATGTGATGTGGATCTGAGCCAGCTGGGACAGGTGCAGATAAAAGAAGCTCCCTTTAGGTCAGCACGGGAAAATTGGCAGCTGAAGGTAGGAAATGTAGCATCGCCTTGTGCTTTTCTGTGATCCTCTAAAACTCTCCTGTCCCTAACTGTCCTCGCAGACTCTTGACTTTAATGAATTTTTTTTTACAGATTTTCCCTCGTTGTATTTTTATGCTAAATATTTATGGACTTCGCCTCTTGTGGAGTTATCTGTGTGACCTCAGCTTTTTCTGTTTGTGTGACTTTTTTTGCATTTACTGTTTTCCCAACACATTGTTTTCTGCTCTCTTTATCAAACATTTCCAATATGCTTTTCCCAGTCCCATGTTGTATTTGTACACTATTCTCAGCTTTTTTCTGCCTTTATTTACAATCAGCCACTGACTACTATGTTTTTTAATGCATGAAAGTTAATATTTTAATGATGACAAGAAATCATTGGTGAACCTTATGTGCCAGTGAAGAAAAAAATGCTTTAAATCCCTTTTAAAACGAGCCCAGTGTTGCTACACTGATTATTCACTTAGTTTGTTTTAACCTTTTTTTAATGCAAGCAAGATGTCTGACAAGGACGGAGGCCCCCGTGGGCTTGTTGGTTGTCATTCTCCAAACCATCTCAGACCAGGTTCCATCTCGCTCCTGCAGAAAAGAGAGGGGGAAACTAATTAGAAATGAACCACAGCTGTGTTAATTAGTTTCTGCTGCCACTGTTCCCTGAAGCAGTGCCTGCTTGTCTCCCCCTGCAGCTGAGCAATAACTTCCACACTGTCACAATGACAGACTATTGTAAACATTTCATGAGTACTTTTCAGTGTCATTTATTGTTTGCTATGGAATAAAATGAGACTGTTATAAACTTGGGGATCAGCCTTAACAATATAGACAATAACCTTAAAATTACTGGGTCACTATWTTGTAAAAAATATATTTTTTACATGTTAGGGTATGACTAAAGATTKACAGTGAAGACAAAATACTTTGGCATCTTCTACTCGACTCTTAYAGATCTGAGGAAATGAGTAACATTGGTGTCAGTAGGTTTTGATGTTGGAGTATAAAAATATTTTTGGATCAAAAATGGATCACCTGTGACGCTTCTTTCAAGAAAATTGTGACATWCCTCAGGAGGAGTAAAAACAATCAACTTCAAATAATTTTTAATTTGGTACTGTTGTTATTTTAGATGCATAATGACAGTAGTTTGGTGGCTAATCTGGAATTTTTTATTTTATTTTTATTGTATA